TCGGTTCTACACTTGGCGCAGTCGTTTATAGTGCCTGGTCCATTCTGCTTTCACATCACTTAGGAAGTGACGATGTCACATTTGCAACCACTATCTCTGGAAGAGAGATTACCGTGGCCGACATAAATGAGATCGACGGTCCCACCATGACCACGGTGCCCCAACGCATCCGAGTAGATCCCAGCTCCACCGTCAGAGACCACTTGAAGGGGACTCTTTCAGGGTTCGCACAGCTCCTCAAACATTCACAACTCGGTGTTGTTGGCGCTTTGCGTGCTGGTAACCTTCCCAGCAAGGCCTTTGACACACTTGTCAACATTCTTGTCAGTCAGGGCGATGAGGGAAGTGCTTCTAGGCAGAATGCTGGAGAAGTCTTTCGGGCACATGGTCGTCGACCTCAGTGGGCGTCCGGCTCTGATACTACTGTGCTTGAAGTAGAGGAAGGTCCCGCCGCAACGATCATCCGCTTGATCAGTACGATGGAATCTCGCAGGTTGCACTTCGTCAGAGACTCATTTGTCAATATTGTCAATGCCTTGCTCACTCAACCGAATACGAAGCTCGCGTCGGTGTCAGTTATGGACCATGCAGAGAGTGATTATCTCTCCAACACGCTCTCCAACCGCACGAGTCTTCGACTCCCTGAAGCAGAACTTCTTCACAGTGCATTCGAGAGAATAGCCGCCGCCACGCCGGACGCTACTGCCATCGACTTTGACGGCAATGAGATCGTGTCGTATGCACTACTCGACAGACTTTCGAATCAATTCGCTCACACTCTCACTGCTCACGGCGTCTCTTCAGGAGACCTGGTGCCTCTCATGCTTGAAAAGTCAGTCGACATGATGGTTGCTATACTGGGCGTTATGAAGGCAGGAGGAGCGTATGTCCCTCTCAGTCCGGACAATCCGAAGGAGAGAAATGGCTTTGTGGTTTCCGATACAAGAGCGAAGCTTCTCGTGGCCCACTCACAACATGCTGAATTCGGAATCTACATCAAACAACTCTACGGCATTCAAACGCTGGTCATGCCAAGTCACGAAACGCTGATTACCGTCACAAGCGATGGATCCGATGCCAACATCGCGCCGTCAACACGCACGACACCCGACAATCTTGCCTACATGATCTACACATCTGGCAGCACTGGCATGCCCAAGGGCGTCATGGTACCTCACCGAGCGGCCGCAGCTGCAGTCGCCAGCATGGCACAGGTCGAAGGCCGATTCCAGGGTAGCTGGCGGACTTTGCAATTCGCCAACTACGTCTTCGATGCATCTGTGCAAGACTTCTTCAACACACTTAGCACTGGCGGAACCCTTTGCATGGCGCCCACCGAAACCTTGCTTTCTGATATTGCTGGATGCATCAACCGCATGAATGTAAGGCAAGCAATTGTCACCCCAACGGTCGCGAAGCTCTTCAGTCCCGAAGATGTTCCAGACTTTGAGACCCTAATAGTAGGCGGTGAGCCTCTGACTCCAGACGTCGTTGATGTTTGGAGCCGTCACTGTAAAATCTTGAATGTGTACGGGCCGACAGAAACCTCCATGGTGGTGACGACTAAGAGCATCGAGCCGTCGTCGGAAGTCACGGGTCATTGCATTGGAAACATAGGCGCTCCTTTTCCCACTGTCATGGCTTTCATCCTTAGTCCAGACGGCGAGACCTTGGCACCATACGGCGCTGTTGGCGAGCTCTGCATCGGAGGACCGCAAGTTACCGACGGCTACATGAACAGGCTCGACTTGACAGAAGCCGCCTACGTCGAAAGCAACACTCTTGGTACACGCATCTATCGTACAGGAGACCTGGCGCGTTGGCTTCCAGGGGGCGAGATCGAATGTCTCGGACGAAAGGACAATCAAGTCAAGATCCATGGCCATCGCATCGAACTTGGAGAGGTCGAGAACTCAATCCGCCGTTCCGGCCTCGTCAAGGATACAGTGGCGCTAGCTGCTACTATTCAAGGCAAGGCGTATCTTGTGGCATTCTGCATCTTTGACGAAGCTCTTGCGCCCATTGACCCAAGTGGTGTTCAAGAACCGTCAACTTCCCGGGCCTCTTGTGGTGTTTTGCGCGAGAATATGCGTTCGCTGGCGACATACATGGTTCCGAAGTTCGTTATTCCGATGAGCGCTTTCCCCAAGCTGCCCTCGCGCAAAGTCGACCGCAAGGCCCTCAAAGTGCTGGCCAACGAGCTCGACAGGGAGTACTTGGCGAAATGCACGCTGGAGACTCCGGGCGAGGACCATCAAGTCGTTCCAGTCCAGACACCATCAGAAGAAATCTTGGAGCTTGTCTGGGCTGATATCTTCGGTGTCTCCCAAAATGAGATCGGACGTGAGGCAAATTTCTTCACGCTTGGTGGTGATTCTATTTCTGCCATCAGCCTGACAGGTCAGTTGCGACGAGTAGGCTACTCGCTGACGGTGCTTGATATCCTCAAGTCTCCCAAGCTGAAAGACATGGCTTTCACCTTGCGCAAGATACAAGCACACGGTCAGGTAGTTGAGCGTTCATTCGAGGTTCCTCAATCCGTCAAGGTAGCTGCCCAAGAAACTGGGATTGCATGGGATGCGGATGTCGACCACGGTAAGTTGTCCCCTGCATCGTTTCCAGTACGACTCCCAGCTAACTGTTCCTCAAGTGTACCCATGCCCTCCCGGCCAAGCAGAATTCCTCAAACAGGGTGGCCGAGAGTCACAGATGTGGGCGCTGCAGACTGTACGGCGTATGACGGCGGATGTTGACCCAGATACATGGATTGAAGCGACCAGCCATCTCACGGAGGTCAACGAGATCCTGCGGACGACATGGATCGACACTCCAGAAGCTGGCTGGGTCGGAGTTGTTCTTCACGGCTCTGAATTGAACGTTGCCAAGGTGGCCCTGGACTCCGAGGCAGAGTCTTCGAGCTTCATCGAAGAGTTTTGGCAGGCGCGTTTCGAGTTTGGTCGTCCATTCATCAAATACGCCGTCATCGCCCACAGCGACGCTTCTTGGGACCTCGTCATCAAGATGGACCACGCCGTATACGACGGCACTTTGCTTCGCGTATTCGATGACCACTTTGGCGCCATTCTCCGGGGCGAAAGCGTGCCACCGCCAGTCGAATTCCGCGACTTCTCCCAACATGTCTTTGCGGAAGACAAGACGTCAAGCCTTAGTTATTGGAAGGCAAAGGTGGATGGGCTTAGGCCTGTCAACCAGAAGCTGTATGGTCGAAATCTCGCTACAGTCTCATCGCCAAAGATTACCGCTAGCTTGCGTAGAGAGGTCGTGACAACGGACATTGACCAAGTAGCTTCTCGCCTCGGAGTCACTCCGAGCATCATCTTCCAAGGAGCATTCTCCCTTTGGCTGGCTGCAGCGACCGAAGCCACAGATATCCGCTTTGACTACTTGCTGAGCGGTCGCAACGTAGCGCTACCGGATCCTCAATCCATCAACGGAACGCTGGCCAACTTTTTGCCATTCCGAACGCCCATTCATCCGAAGGAATCAGTGCGCGACTTCCTCGGGAAGCTACAAGATGACTTTTGGGATGTGACCGAGAACGGCCTGGTCGGTCTCGACGATATTTACGGTGTTGCTGGTCTACCTCGCGAGACACACGGAAATCGAATCTTGTTCCTCTCTCAACCGTTCGAGCCAGCAGCCAAGGATGACCCCAATTGCCGCTACCGATGGCTTGTCATGTCAAAGTCGAAGGTGCGGATGTACCAGCCATACGCGCTGGTTGTCGAAGTGTCCAAGTCGCTGGGTGATCGTCATATACTGAAGGTCATGTATGACGACACCATCTTGGATCTGGCAGTGGCGGAAAATATTGCGGATGATATAGTTGCTTTGATCGAGGTTCTAACGGATGCCACCACGGCGGATTTGGTACTCGAAGAGTTGTGAATAGGACCAAGGGCCTTGACGTAGAACGATAGAAACTTTCGCTTGGCGTACAGTAATTGATTCTTTCCCACATTCTAAAGCGATTCAATCGAAATCCGGGAATGATTTTGGATAAGCTATGTTCTTCAGACATCTCTCGAGAAAGTGTGGAAGAGACGGTGTGTGGTCATGATTGAAGCCTTGGCGCTCACTTCGGCAATTTCCTCCGGAAATCAAGACATGATATTTCTTGGCAAAAAGAAACGCCAAGTGGCCAAGTGGCCAAGACAACGACCGAATTGACTGAAGCTTTGGGGCGTCGGGACCACGGACAGGACTCCTTTCTTGGCCAACCCTCCACAGTTCCTCCACAATCCACCATCCACATCACGACGCGGGGGACCGACAAGGAAGAGCAACCTTTCCAACAAAGAGATGGATCACTGGGGGAGATTGCAGCTTCGTGCGGGGGAATCTCGACTAACGACGCAAGTCGAATCCATCCGATTGTTGGCTAGTTTTCTCCGTTGACCATGGTCGAGAAATTCCATCAATCAGTTGCTCGCGTAGACCAGACGGCGCTGTCGACCCTAGGAACCGACATGCAGGCAACCTGCACAATCTCCGAATCCACCTCAGCTAAAGCTCGTTTGCTCGCATCTTCCCCAACTTCTCCCCCTCGTCGCGATGGGGTTCGAGGCTGGTCAACCGTCAAAACCCCCATGGGCGCACGGCTGGGGGAGCCTGGGGCTACTGCGAGGCCGGCGAGAGACCCGGTGCGGCGGTCTGCTGATTACGCGGATGGATTGATGCAGAAGCAACAGAACGCTGAACGGGAGGATAAACGAGGGCTTGATAGGTGGAATGGATTGTGTTGTTTCTCCTTCGTGCAGTGCGTCCTGGTTATTTCCAGATGGCTGGGCGAAGCGAGACTAGCTTGATATCGCCCCAACTAGCTGCTTATGCCCCCCCCTGCCATGTTACCCCGACTTTGGAGAGATATCGAATATTTTCAGAGCCGAAGAGCTGTTGGTAGCCATGATGATCACTCTGGGTGTAGAGCAATTGGAAAGAAATGTGACTTGGCGATGCAGGTCCATTGCCAAGCGGCACGAGTATATGAAGACGCTCGCGCTCTGGAAGTTGTTCTGGATGGCTGATCACCTCCCCCGAGCAGCCTCCTTACTTGGCATCTCACTTGGCAATCCTACTCAACCTCGTGTGTGTTTCCTTCTCACCACTCAATCCCACACGCAGCCATGAGAGTCTCGTCCATCTTCGCCGTCCTGGCGGCTGCCAGCAGCGCCCTTGCCTACTCGGCCGAGTTGATTCCGGCCGGCGTCCCTCGCAACGTGGACGAGTTCCGCGTGAAGCACCCCTACCAAAAGCGCGCCAGGGGCTGCCGTAACACGTACACTCTACGTGCCTCGGAGAATGACCTGGATGACGTCTCTGACGAGCTTGTCGAGGGTCTGAAGCTGGCCAACAACGGTGGTACTTTGCATCTTCCCGCTAACCAGACATTCATCATTGGCAAGCCGCTCGATCTGACATGGCTCAATGATGTCCATGTCCACTGGGAGGGTGAGATCAAGTTCACCAATGACACCCCGTACTGGCAAGCCAACGCCTTCCACCACCCGTTCCAGAACTCCATCATGTTCTGGAAGTGGGGAGGAAACGACGTGAAGCTGTACGGCCAGGGTGTTCTGAACGGTAACGGTCAAAGATGGTGGAACGAGTTTGCTGGTCTTGAGTAAGCTTTCTACAGATCCCTGACTTACTTTAAGCTTATTGTTAACAAACTTTTAGGATTCTGGACCCCACAAACGCCTACCTCCGTCCCATCCTGTTCTATGCCGAGAACGCGACTGGACTGTCTATTGAGGGCATCCACTTCAAGGACTCTCCTTGCTGGACTACCTTCATTGTGACTTGTGAGTGACACCATCGCAACTGCTGCAGAACGACCAACACTAACACGACGTCCAGCCAAGGATATCTCCTTCACGGACGTCATTGTCACCGCCGAGACCAACAACCACACCGCCGAGCCCAAGAACACCGACTTCTTCGACTCTCTGAACGTCGAAGATGTCCGCGTCAAGCGCGCCTGGGTGAACATTGGCGACGACTGCTTCTCCCCCAAGTCCAACGCCACCAACATCCACGTCGACACCATGTACTGCAACGGCACCCACGGACAGTCCATTGGATCCCTGGGCCAGTACGCCGGCGAGAAGAGCTTCGTTCAGGACGTCGTCATTGAGAACGTCTGGATGCTCAACGGTCAGCACGGTGCCCGCCTCAAGACCTGGGCCGGCCCTAACATTGGCTACGGCTACATCGACAACGTCACCTTCCGCAACTTCTGGCAGGCGAACAACGAGTACACGGCCTTCATTGACTCGTGCTACTTCAACATCAACGCCACCACCTGCGCTGCGTACCCTTCCCAGATGAATATCAGCAACATCCTCTTCGAGAACTTCTCTGGATACTCCAGCGGAAAGTACGGCCGTGCTGTCGCCAAGCTCACTTGCTCGACCAATCCCAACGCCGTCTGCGACAACATCCAGTTCAAGAACTTCAACATCACCACCCCTTGCGGTGGCGACCCCGTCATTCTGTGCGACGGTATCAAGGGAGACATTGGTACCCCTTGTGTTTCTGCCACCAGTGATGAGGGTAAGGCTGCTCTGGCGGCCAAGTGCACAACGGCTCTGGCTGTGGCTACACCGTGGGAGGTCAGACCCTTTAAGGGTTGAATGAGTAATTGGGTTACACTCTTCTTTGAGTAGAGCTAGGTATCACGGGTCAAGATGATGACCGAGTCGTGCAGTGACGGCGTAGATTCTTGTATAAAATTAAACTTTGCATATACAATTTTGACAACCCAATAAGTTCAAGTCCAGTATATTCCTTCGTGATGCATGTATGTTCATTCCCCTTTTACAAAAACGCAGCAACGCCAACAAAGCCAGCGGCAACGGCAGCGGCAGCAATCATACCGGTCTGACGGGGCCCGGCGTTGACGGCAATCTGTGTGGGACTGTTGCGGCCGCTTGTCGCGCTGACACCGGCACCCGTGCCAGCGGCAGCTCCAGTCTTTGTCTCGCCGGTAGCAGAAGGATAGTCGCCACCAGCAGCAGTTGTCTTTGGTGCCGAAGAGCCAGATGCCGTAGCACCACCAACTGGTTCCGCCGTGCAGAGTGGGATCTCGGTCTCAAAGTCGGAGAGAGTGGAGCAAACGGACACCGCCGACGCGATTGAGGCCGAGTTGGCGTCGACCCAGCTGAGGAGTTCAGAAGTATAGCTGGAGTAGTCGGCGCTCAGTTCCGCAGGGACCGTGATGCTGCAAGGGTCGGTTTGCGGAGGGGCAGTCATCTCGTAGGAGAGGATCTTGGGAGGAGGAGTGGGTGCGTTGGCGTAGACTGTGCCAAGAGCGTTGAGGCATGGGTCGGCGGCGAGCTCAGTTTGACGGGGAACAACATCGCGACGGATACGGTCCGGTCTAACGTCGAAGACGGCAGTCGCGGAGCCGGCCAGGGCGGCGATCAGGGTAGTCTTAGCGTACATGTTGAGAGAGATGATTGTAAGATCTGGTAAAGACTGTTGTTGGTTGAGATATGCAAGTGAGTGTCAACGAATAGGATGATGAAGGAGTGGACTGTAGTTGATGGGGTTATGGTATGGCCGGGAGTGCGACATACGTCTCAATTAATACATGAACAAACGAGGACGTATCTCATTCTCATGCCCCTGATCACCATGGTGTAGCTTAATCTCAAGCATGAAAATAAGGATTCCTGGCTTCAATCCGCCGCCGCTGTTTGCGACCGTGCTCTACCTAGTGCGCATCAACGTCTGCAAAGATCAATCACGAGGTAGACAGGCTTCATGAGAAGTGAGTTGAGTGCTGTCAGAGCGGCATCCTGACGACTGACGGCGTCATCCTGGCTCTTGAGATGATGTTAGCCATGGCTTATGAAGTGGCAACAAGCCCTTCAGCTAACCCAAAATACTTGAGGAGGATGACTTGCAGCTTCTTCAGAGAAAGGTTCGGCTGGGGAACACTTAGTCCAAAAGGCTTTAGTTTTGTTTCGGTGTAAGGGACTAAGATGGCCGAATCAGGGGAAATAGCAAAGCTAGTCTTCTAAGGTAGCTAGAGCATGTTTTGCCTCGAGCTATTTTAGGTCGTTACACACTCCTCAAGAAGTTTAGATGGGAAACCAGAAAAAGCGATCTGGACCAACCTCTTATTATCAAAAGGAAAAAAAGGGAGGCTTACTGTCAAACGGGCTTGCTCTGGGTAAGTAAACGTACTTACCTAATAATTACCTAGTCAAGATGCCTCCCTCGATGGATCTCAACACTGACAAAAGACCCGAAATGCATTCAAGACCGATCGGGAACTCGAAAGTACGCAACACTGACGGTCAAAGTGGCCGGGATAGGCATGTTATGATTGAATGGTGCAGGTGAATGATTCTGGCTGAAGGTCTTCCGAAGGTTTGGTGAAAGCATCTGCATTCGTTGACCGAGAAGCCAAGGGCCCATGGGCGTGACTCGTTACAGCAAGAAGGGACTCGATTCGAGATGAAAGGTTTCAAGCCACCATATGTAAGCATTGTTCCAGCCTTACGCCAACTGTTTCTCGGCAGATCAAGCTTTCCTAGAATTCCAACTGCCTGGGAGTCCTCGGGGCGTCGTGGCGTATTTTCCAACTCCTTCAATTTTGCTCGTGCGCACTTGGGCTAAAACTGGAAGAAGAGGTTTCTGCATGGCTTTCTGAGTTGTTAAATTACCTCGGATGTAATAGAATTGAATTCCTAGAATGCGAAAACCTCGTCTAATCTATTGTAGTTTGGTTTCTCTCCTCCGAGCGACCATTGTTGGGCCAGCGGCAAGATATCGACTGCGGTATCGCAAGACAAGCTCACTGCTGAAGTCCAACGACACCAACCTTAAGATAGTGATCGTTGTTCTTGATCCTTTCTCCAATGTCGCCGCTCTTGAGCTCCTCAATATCCCACTTGGCCCAGACGAAGCGGCCATGCAAGAAGCGCGCCTCCTCAGATGCGGCCCAGACGGCAAAGTTTCCAGCCAGGCCAACTAAAGGACAGGGATAATTAGCAGGTGCAAGAGAACTTCGTTGATTCCGGATGACACTTACCATGATCAAACGGATAGATATCCTCAGGGATCCCAGCATTCTTGAAAGCCGAGGTATGCACCACGCCCGGGTGGAAGTTGAGAACTTGCATCTTCTCGGGAGGCGTGTCCTTGGCAATCATCTGGATCAGCATCGTCCCTGCGTTCTTGCTGGCGCTGTAAGCAGGCCAAGGGCCTGATTTGGTGTAGTTGTGACTGGCCTCCGTAGACACATTGACGAGGAACTGTAGCCAAACTGTCAGCTCTGGCAAATTTCACGCACTTCATCGATAGTACATACCTTCTGTCGACCTTCGCCATTCTTTTGCTTGTAGAACCTCTCCGAGAGATCCAGGAGCGAGCGGACGTTCATAGTGAAGGAGCTCCAGACCTCATCCCTTCCAAGAGACAAGATGGGTCCATGTTCCGAAATCTTGGCTGCATTGAGCACAAGGACGTCAATGACGGTGCCATCCTCTTCGAAGCCCTTCCAGAGCTTCTCCACGTCTGCGAGGTCATCCACATCGCTCGGGTATCCGTCGAATTGCACCTCGGGAAACTCCTTCTTCAGCTCCGAGACCGCCTCATCGACAAGATTCTGGCGGCGGCCGAGGATGATGATGCGCTTGGCGTGGGCTTGTGCGAAGCCCTTTGCGATGGCGAAGCCGATACCTGCTGAGCCGCCGGTGATGAGGACTGTTCGTCCGGCCTGGGAGAGCTCTGGGCGGGAAGGGAAGATGGTTGGATACGTCTCCTTGTGTTCCTTTTTGGTGAATGTCATCCCGGTTTCGTAGATAGAGGTGGAAGTCAGTGCCGCGAAAGCGGCGGCGGCAACGTCATTGTCCATGTTGAAGTAGTGTTCGAGGTGTTTTGGGGATATCTGGGGTAATTGAGGTGTAATTGATCTTGACAGGATTTCAAAGATTGAAGAAGCTGGTGATTTGGTTTCGATTTTGTTACATCTTTCCGCAGAATCGTCCCCGTCTTATACCGTTCTCCAGCACTGCTAATAACACTAATACCAACCACTCACTCTCACCAATTCAGTCAGCAAAGACGTGATCAATTGCTCAACGTTGCTATCAACCACAGCGTTTGTCATCATGTAAGCCATCAAAGGCTGTATCGTGATAGAATCCGTTCAAATCCGATCTGCCCAATGGGGGCGGCCGCGAAGCCCGCAAAACACCCGCACAGAGTTCCCGCTAGTTTCCCGCAAGTCTTCCGCCGAAAACCCGCAAAACCCGCACCGGCGCTGCGGGTGGCTCCACTCCGTATTTGCTTACGGGCGTCCCGAGCCCGCGCCTTTGGTTCCTAGCGCTGACAAATGCCGTCATCCTCTCAACTCAAAGGATCTCCTGCCTGGTTTTCGCTTCAGCAATCCAAGTCTCAGATGAGTTACGAACTCGGGCTGATGACAAACACGGCTCAATTCAACGAAAGTCACAACTCGATAGCTGAGTACCTCATGTGGTGTGAGGTAACTCAAACGAAGGCAAAGCAGCTGTCTACCACGCTTCATCCCCTCTATTACTAAGGGGGAATCAAGTATCGAGAAATGAGTCGCCTCTCCAAGCAAAAAGCATGCATAGCATGCACGGAATCAAAGCGCCGCTGCGATAAAGGCCTCCCATCGTGTTCCCGCTGCGACGACCGCGACGTGGACTGCCAATACCCCGTCATAAAGCGTCGCCGGCGGCCCGAGACCGCCAGGCCGCTGCCGTTCGCCGACCCATCACCACCACCGGCACCAGTCCCGCTCCAGCAGCAGCAGCAACAGCAGTCCATGTCGACAACAATACCAGACACACTCCTCTTCGACGCATCCCCTCTAACAACAAACATCTGGAGCATGCCCTGGACAGACCTAGACTTCACCACCCCGAACTTCCACCTCTCACCATCAACAGCCTTCACCCTCCCGCCCCCAAAACCCGCACCAATACCGCAGCAGCACCAACAATCTGATCCACCACACATCGCCAAACCAGACTATCCGCGCCTCACATCCTCCGTAGCTGCCTCCCTCGCAGGAAGCCAATGGTTCCTTGCCCCCCAAACCTGGAGAATAGACCACTGGCCCGCGCCCCCGCGTGACGCCTACCCCGTCTCCGTGCTCACAAACTTCACCCGCGGCCTGCAGGCCTGGGTCCGGCGGTGGGTGATGGAGGGACATAATCCATTCATCCACCGCAGCCTCTACGCTGAGGGGAATTACTTCCCCTCGACCGTCCAGGACGCCTTTGCCGCGGCGTCTGTGTACTTCCACAAAACGTCTCTCAATGAAGCATTCGTCCATCGTATCTTGGATGAAAGGGCCACGGCCCTGCTGGCGAGTCAGCCTGCGGCGGAAGGCGACTCAATGCTGGAAACCAGGGATCACCTAGCTCGCGTTCACGCGCTGTACGTCTACACCATCATCCGCCTCTTCGACGGCTCAGTAGGCCAACGAGCCGCAGCCGAAGAACACCTACCGACCCTGGACATCTGGGCAAAACAGCTATGGCAATCCGCCCAGAAAGACGCCGAAACCCTATACAGGCACCAGTGTCCCCCCTCAACATGGCAGTGCCAGGCACAAAGGGACACTGACCTAGCAGAGCAAATCACGGCAAACACCAGCGCCGCCAACGCCGCCAGACCAGGAAGAAATAAGAAACCCCAACACCCAAAGGAAGAACTTTTCAACCACGACCTCTGGACTTGGAACCTCTGGGTCCTCTCCGAATCCGTCCGCCGTACTTGGATCATCGTCGTCTGCACTCTAGGCGTCTATAACGCCCTCAAGGGGAAATGGGGTGAGTGCTCTGGAGGAGCTCTCTTCACCGCCCGCGCGGGACTATGGGATGCGCCATCGGCCCCGCGCTGGGCGGCGCTGTGCCGGGAGACGTCTGGGAATGGCAGTAGGACCGGGCGAGACACATGTGGTGCCGGTACTGCTACTGACCGTCCGGGGGCGGAGTGCGGCGACGATGACGGTGACAATGGCTGCGGTGATCGGAATCTCTTTGTGCCTTCGCTTGATAGTGACGGGTTGCTCCATAATGCAGCTGCAGTTGATGTTGATGAGTTTGCGAGGCACCTATTTACATGTATCTGGGGCCTTGACCGGGTTGAAGACTGGGCGTTGAGGACAGCTTCGGAAGGCAAGGTGAACTTGGTTTATTGAGATTCAACATGATGAGCTCGAAGTGAGGATGGCATAGAAATCACCAAGACTCACCTCTCATGTATGTTGTCGACAGAAAACTATGGATAACGAGAAGAGGTCCGAATTTGATACCAACAGCGGCATGCGCAAGGAAATGAAAACCACCATCCCCATCAGCGGCAACGGTAGCGGCAGCGAAAGATTTCCTAGAACGACTTGCCTCGGATCACAGCTCCTGGAACCTCATAGCTTCAGAGACTTCATGTTATAATATACTTTTACATACGGATCTAGAAGCGAGACCGTAACGTCATGACACAAAAAACATCTTCCATTTATTTGCAAGGCATGATCATTACCGTCAACGCCCGTCGAGGCAGGGCCATTCGACATCTAGGCCTTTTGCGATCCCCGCACCGTCCCTAATCAAATTGCGTTTTGAGCCTCCGAGCACACGGCTACCTACTCCTCATCCTCTTCCGCCTCGGCCATCTCCTCGTCTGCCTCCTCCTCGGCCTCTTCTGCCTCCTCTTCTTCCTCCTCGGCCTCCTCAGTCGCGTCTGTTCCGTTCACCTTGGTGATCTCGGCGACTTGGGGCGCGGCGCCACCCTGCTTCTCGAGTTGGAGCCACTCGTCCCACTCGGGGAAGAGGTCTTCGTCTTCTACCGGCGCACCCACCATCTTAGCGACGCGGCCCTTCTTGCCCTTCTCGAGGCTTTCCTTCCACTCCTTGACGACATCTGCCGTCAAACTGGGCTTGTATGTTTGCGAGAACAAAACAGCCTCTGCTAACCGTCCAGTCTTGGTAAGGATCTCCACGCAGCCAGCAACGTCACCCAGCAGCCACTTGCAGCTGAATGCAACATTGTGAGCGCCAGCCTGTTGCGCTTGGTCGGAGAGTTTTGAGAGACCAGTGCGGTCGGATGTGGAGGAGTACAGAAGGAGCAGGGAGCCGAGGTCCTTTGCGTGTGTGAAGCACTCTTGTGCCACGGCCACCTGCCATCCGGCAAGGGCAGCGTCTCCGACAGTCTTCCACTTGTGCTCAACGTCTGCCTCTCTCGCCAACTCGAGGGCAGTGTCCAACTGACCCAGTCCGAGAGCGAGGTCAAACTTGTGTTCGGGGTCGGTGGCAACCTCCAGCGCAAGTTCCTTGTGGCCCTGTCCTTCCAAGAAGCGTGCGATCTTGTTAAGTTGGTCCGCAGGAATCGTGTGCAGCAGCTCTTGCGCAGTCTCCATATCGTCACGAAGAACCAAGGTCTGGTACTCGAGCACGGGCAAGGACAAGGAGAAGGAGGTGACACCGACGTCCTTATCAGCCAGGTAGATTCTTGAATCACGCTGGATATATCCCAGGATGTACATGGACTGGTCGAAGTGGGATACCGTGTAAGTCTGGTCGCCCACGAGGTAGTTCAAGCGGTTGGTGCTGTTGGTGTAGAGGAAGCAATCTCCAACCCACTCTCCAGTGCGGACACTAGTTTTGCATTAGCAATCAGTTGTCTGAGACAAGAAAACGCAGCATACCTCTCGTTGATATCCGTGATGACCTCAAAGGCGGCTTCGACGCCATCTTCGTCAATCTGGTTGGTTTGGACACCCTCAACGTAAGCCTCGCGCGAGAAGCGCAAGATGTAGAAGGTATCTTCGCAAGCGAGAGCGACCAATTCGCCGCTATCAGACCAGTATACCTGTTCAAATTAGCACGTGTACCTGAGGCAGTGCAGCAAAAAACCGACCTCTCTCGGCTCGACCTCAATGCGTCTGACTAGACCACCGGTTTGCCAGTCAAAGAATGAGATCCCCCCTTGGCCCTTGACACCGAGAAGGACACCACCAGTCAAGCCTTCGGCCTGGAAACCGACATCAAGGCCGCCCGCCTTCTCGACAAAGTTCTTGTAAACTTTGACGCTGGTTGCTGATTCCCGGATGGCGAAGTCGTTGGTGTTCTCCTTAGATGCCCAGACAAAGTCCAGTGCAGATCCAAAAGCCTTGTTTCGCCAAGCCAGAGCCGTGTAGATGATGTATTCGCCATCTCCGCAGACTGCGACAAATCGACCGTTCGGGTTGTGCACGAGGGTCGAGGGGTACACTTCGCAGGTACCAAGCTCCTTGACGGGAAGGGAAATGGGCTCGTTATCCTTGATAGAGGCATCTGGGCATGTTAGCAAAAGGTCTGGAGGTCTAGAACAGACGCAACATACCTCCACCCTTGATAATGGCAGAGACGACTTCATTGTGGCGGGCCCAGACAAGCTTTCCTGACGCGTCCATTGATACGGCAGGCTCCTCGCGACCCAGCTTCACAACGACGGCACCATCGTCGAACCCAACGGCCACGCCCTGCTTGCCCTTCTGGTAGGAAACACACCACGCGCGCTCAAGACCGTAGTTGAGGGACTGCTCAAATCGGTAGGTGTTGGCGTGCCATATCCTGATGGTGCCGTCTTCGGAACCGGAAATAATGACTGGCAGCTCAGGGTGATAGCACGCGAAGGAGACGTTATTCGTGTGGCCCTCGAGGGTGGCGATGAGAGATTTGGTGGTGTAGTCCCAGACCTTGACGGTGCGATCGTCGGAGGTTGTCAGGAGATAGGGCTTGTCCGAGTGAGGGTAGTAGTCAACGTGGTTAACACCCTTGGCCTCGTGGGCCTCGAGAGTGAAGTTGGGTGTCGCCGAGCCGAGACTCCAGATCTTGACAGTGCGGTCAAGGGATGCGGAAGCGAAGGTGTTGGTATCCTTGGGGTTGATGGCGAGACCCATGACATAGTGGCCGTGGCCTTCGAAGACCTGGACGCACTTCCAGCCCTTCTCCCAGTCCCAGAGCTTAATCGTCATGTCATCGGAGGCGGTCAACACGAAGGGTTGTGTGGGGTGGATGGCGATGGCGCGAATATAATCGGGATGGGCCTCGAAAGAGGTGATCTTCTCTGAGGTATTGTAGTTGTATACACGGATCTGGAAGTCATCGGAACCGCAGACAATCCAGTTCTTTCTTGCGACGAATCGGCCGGCTCGGACAGGAACATCGGTGAGCTCGAATGTCTTGACGATCTGCTGAGTCTCGTACGACCAGATGTAGACATGACCGCTATACAAAGTCGTGAGGATCCATGGCTCCTGAGGGTGGAAGTCGATACCCTTCACCCGCTCGCTGCGGGCGAACAATTGTCGCTGGAAGAACAAGTCAGCTATCTATGCAAAGCTATTCAGGGGACGACAAGCCGGCGAAAGCTATGCAGCTGCAGCTCTGGCTGTCCCAATAGCTCTTGCTCAAGCAATGCGCAAAGCTGGGGAGTCTCAATCGGTCTGGGTCGTACCTTCACGTCGACCTTCATTTTGGCGGCCTATGTGTGTATACCGGCAAGGGAGAAAGTTGAAGGAAAGGTGATGGTGTCCTCGAGAAACGAAGTGGGGGGGAAGTGGTTCTGGCGCTGGTAAGTACGCCTAGGGGGAAATCATGCGTGGCTGTCCGGTTGTTTCGAGAAAATGAGAGAGGATTAGGAGAGGCCGCTGGAAGCCGGTCGCGGAGGAAAGAGTCGGAGAGCCTCGTCAGCTTGTGTCGTGGGAATTGATGGCTTCCAGAGCTTTGGCAGGCGCAATTTTGGCCAAGTCGGTATTTCGAGCTTCAACAGATGTGTCCCTACCGCACCAGGTCCAAGAGCTGATTGGTGCCTGAACGATGTGGCTTTTGCCTAAGGCACAGACATTTGAGCCACGTAAACTGCCCGTCAATTGAGTCACTTATCTTATCTTGTAGAAAGCCACACTACTCCATTACCTTAGCCACACTTGTGATCTCGAGGGTCCAGACATCAGCCACACCAATCTGGACAGGTCGGTGTAAGCCCCGGATGAGGGCGTGGGCAACAGCTTTCCATCATTGAATTTGAGTGCGATTCAAAGTTGACAATCTTCATATATGTGATCATTATTACTTAAAATGTGACGAGTATGTTAGCGCGCGTATAGGTGTAATTGGGTGGACATAAGGCATCAGAGTAGAACGCATCAGTTCCGTACTGCGTTGATCTGCCATAAGGTCTTGTAGAATGTTTTTCGTCACAATACACGTATAATTGAGAATTAATGATTGTATGTTTGAAAGTCTTGATTGGATTTGTGAACTCAGATAATCCTGGGCCTACCCCATTGGGGCGGCCCTGCTCGAAAGTAGCGCTGAAATGCGCGCTGACTAGATATCCTCTAACTCCATGCTTGTCCCAGTGATATATGCTAAACTCCAAAAAGAAAATCACGCCCATCAATCGTTACACTCGTCAGAGCTTGCCGGTGAGTCATTCCTCACTGTCAACCTGAACCTTGCGGACGACAGCAGCAAGCATGGGGTGGATCTTCTCAGAAGACTGAATGCCGCAGATCTTGGTGACTGCATCCTCAGGAGAGTTCTCGGACATGAGCTTGGAAAGCTCCTTGCTCTCATCGTCGCCCTCAACATCCTGGAAGCGGAAAGCCATCTCAGCTGCGCGGAGCAGTGCGGTGCAGTCCTCGCCCTTCTCGGCGAGTTCTGCCGCGGGGCCGACAAAGCGCTCCTTGCGGCTCAGCTTGCGGAGCGGTGCGCGACCGACACGCTCAACAGCATCCTCCAAATGGGGGTTGCCAATGCGGCGGATAATCTTGGCGGCATATTCGCGCTGAGCCTTCTCATCGATGCCGTGCTTACTGATAATCAAGTTGCTGGTCTCCTCAAGCGCCTTGCGAACCTCAGCCATAATGGCCTTGTCCTGCAGCGCATCGTACACGGTGCGCTTACCGCGGTTGTAGCCGTGGTAGGCAGCAGTGGCGTGACCAGTGTTGACGGTGTAAAGCTTGCGCTCGATGAAAGGAGCGAGTTCATCAACCCAGTTAATACCCTCAATGCTGGGAATCTCCTCGAAGGGCGTGCGCTCAACAACCCATTCGTAGAACTTCTCGAGGGTTACGTCGAGCCCAGCGTTGGGATCTTGAGCAGGAACAATGCGGTCGATAGCAGAGTTGGCGTAGCGGGCACGCTCGTGGTGGTCTTCCAAGCGGTGGGCGGCAGTGTTGCGAGGGTCTTTGATGTGCTCAGCAAGGGTGTCGGTGGCGCCAATAGCATTCTCGCAAGCAATGACAGAGATGGGTGCCAGGTCGCTGGGACGCTTGTCGATACCCTTGGCGATGACAGGTGCGATAAACTTGAGGATGTTCGGGCCGACGGAACACGTGACGACATCAGCGGTGGCAATCTCCTCGACAAGCTCGGCCTCGTGTGTTCTTGAATTGATGGCACGGTAGTTTGTGATGGTGTTCTCGTTAGTACCCTCAGCGCCGACTTCGATAACCCGGTACGATGGGGTCTCGTTCAGCTTGTCAATGAGGGCATCGGCGACGTCGGCGAAGACAACCTCGTAGCCGGAGTTGTGGAGAAAGCAGGCGACGAAACCACGGCCGATGTTGCCGGCGCCAAAGTGGACAGCCTTCTTGTTAAATTGTTGTGTTGACATGTTGGGCGTGTGGATAGAGTGTGGGTGTTGGAAGAGTGAGGGGAATTTGGAAATAGTTTGAAAATAGAGGCAAAGCCGAGTAGTTGTAGCCTCGAGGTGGTTTAGTTTATCAAGATCGCTCAAAGATCGAGTAATGTGGAAAAGGTGTCGTGTGGAATGAAAGAGGAGAAGGTTGAAGTCAAAGGGGGAAACAGGTTGTCTTTATAATCTGAGAGTGTCGCCTTCACAAGAAGGACCACGACGATGTACTGGAGTGCGAGTGTGTCTGAGAAGGCACCATGGGATGGCCTTGACGTGTGAAAGGCTCATTTACAGTGGGGGCATCGGCTGGAAGGGGAAAGCATGAAGGAGTGGAGGGGGACCCATGCAATACGTCGTCGGTCGTCCATGACGGGACGTAAGGAAACTTAGGAAAGGTCAGGTATTTCTGAGTGGTCCATCACACATAAAGGTACATCGGGGGGGTGCGGGGCGTATCGTCAATGTACTCTCTTTTCCCGCGCTGAGATCATCGCGTAGGTACCCGGAGTACCAGGTACTTCTGGCCGGGCTCCCACCAAAATGAGAGAAGTCTGTGTCAAGGACTGCCCCAGAGCAATGACATAACGCCGCATCCCCCTTCAACCCCAGCCATGCCATCATCCCCAGTATTATCTTGCCTTGCGGCGAATAGACAAGCTAGCTTTTTTGCGTCCATCCCGTCACCTTGTCCGCAAGGCTCCGCTTCATTGAAACAGAGTCGGCGCCGCCTTAGCTCTTTGGCTACAGCCCCTTGAGCCAACGAACACGCAGTATTTCGTCAAGGAGTACAGCCTACCATCTCCACTGAGGGGTGGTTGAAGAGGGGGGGTGTCGTCAGAGAAAAACACCATGGAGAAAGTGACAATGGGCGCAGTCCAAAGTGATGCAACTGCTGAGAGGGGAGGGACCACGGAGGGGTCGCAGAGTGGCAGCCCCTCCGCCAGCCTGGGTTGGACTTGGAATGGATGCCGAATGTGGATGAATGGGGGATAGGCCTTGAGGCACAGGGAAATCAAGAGGAGAGAGGATGGCCATGGTTTGCATCGCTCGCCAATCATCATGAGTCCTTTGTCGGCTGCCTTTATCCCTCTGCCATTGTTCGGACAATACCTGTTGGTTTGCACTGTTGCAGACACAGGGCAGAGACATCTTGGTGTCAGCCACGTCGGCCAGATTACTGTGTCTACATCCTACATCGCATGTGAGAAATCATCTCCTACACAGCGCATGCCGTGTCCCTGAATGCTTCTCTGCTACCTTCGCTTCTGGGTGGTGGGAAGTTTACGGCCCCCATGCCCGTCAGACAACAATGGAATAGGATACAGCTCCACTGAATCTCAAAAGGACGGCAGAGTGATAGGTAATGGCAGCCCGGAGAGGCGAGTAAGGCCCGAAAGGGTCACCCGTGTTCAATCACGAGCATAACATGTGCTGGGAGGTTCAAGAGACAGGTGTGCCTAGGCCTGTGTGTGATTCCGAGTGTGGGTGCAGGAATCACACCCATTGAGGCCTTTTAGTGTCCTGGTGTTCTGATGCCTTAGCATTCGTGGTATCGCTTCAAAATAGACCAGCCGAGACGTTGATGCTGGTTTCTCCTGAATACTGCTGCTGCCTGTACACGGAAAATACCGTACGCCCGCTGTGTGGAAACCACAGAACTCTCCATCTCTTGCAGATGGTCCTTGGGAAGGGTTGGTTGAGGTGGTGGTGGATGGACGGGTATTAGGTGGACAAATGGATGGATTCCCGTACCGGTTCCGTCCGGTCTAGAATCGCAGGGCAGGGACCCTGAACTAACAACAGCATGGCAGTCGACTCGGGACAGGTGGCTAACCGCGGCGAAGATCTAATGCTATGAAGACAACTGGTTTTGCTATTTCCAATGCCAATGGCATCGAATCTTGCGCGTGGACTTTGCCGATGCGACAGGTGTATCAAGGAGTGCACGACTGTGTTCAGCAAAAGGGGTCCGAAAGGGTTGCCATGGAGGGGTACGGAGTAGTGTCGAGGAGAGGCATTTCTTTCCTTATCGTAGCATCTCGGATCGCAAATCGCCATCGTGGATCAGCAACTCGTTACCGACAAGTCGCACTATAGTGTACCAGGGGCTGGCGCCTCCGTGGCCTGTTCCTGAATCTCGCTGTGCCACGAGGGGGCCGAGGAACCGTGGAGATTGGAGAATGCGCAAGTCCTAATCGTACGGATTGCAAGTAGTATGTTAGAGTGCATTCGTGGGATTCGTGGCAGATGAAAGGGCCAGCCTGCCACTCAGCGCAAGCAAGTTGGCTCAGCGCTATGCAATGCCACGTCCGATAATCAACCGGAGACTCGTCAGAGAATTAGATGAAGCCGGCATTGCTTCGATCGTGAGTATTTGATATGGATTAGTGGTCGAATCAGAAGACGGCATCCGGGGCCCATCCTCGGTGGGTTTGACGACCTACGGTCCACGAATACGGTCTGCGGCCTGCCCCTCCTTCTATCCCTCTGGCGTGCCCTTGACTGACCCTGCGGCTTGTCCTGGAGAACCCAGACTCAGCCATGAAACGGGACGGATTACCATGGAATCTCGAGAGCCTTGAGGGATAAATTACGGCGGCGGCTGTTGTCAGGCTTGTCCGCCTAGGTCTACCCTTGCCCGGGATGTAGGCCACAAGCGCGGGACTGCAATTCGTGGAGCTGTTGACATGGCGCCACTTTGGGGTTGGTCGTCGCCGCGCCCAGGCGATAGGGGTCCGCAATTTCTCGCTTTGTTGACGCGGACGGTGACCAAGAGGGCCAAGTGCAGCGGAGATTCGGAGAGATGGTGAGCGTGTTTGTCGTGTAGGCATGTACTTTGCACGGTGGCGGCAACCTTCCAGGGCACCTGGGTTTGCGAGCCGCAGGGCCAGGTGGACTGCGGCTCATCAGGACCAGTCACGACTAGAGAATCCGAGAGCGATAAGACGACAAGAAGTGGAAATTCCGGGCCTCAGGCGTTGTTGACATGCTTCGACTGCTTATGGCCTGAAGATATGAGGCTTCGCCGGCCAATACGGTCCGCTTCGTGAAGGTAGCCCCGTGGTGACGATTGGTCCAGTTCATAGGGTACCGTGGCACGCGTGGGTACGAAAGGTGATGGTGCATAACCAGAAGCGGCGATGCTTGGGCGCAAGGTTGGGAGACAGAACACGGCACGGCGGAGGGACGGAGGCGCTACCTGTTTGCCCTCCCCGTGTCCCCGTGTTCCCCTCGGGCTGTTGGAGCCCTCCACTATTGCCGATGAACGCCTGCAGGAAGGGTGCAACCTCTTGAGCGAAGCGAAAGTCAAGGCAAGACGTGGATGGGATATTTGGGAAGTGAGATTCTGCCTGCATTCCCGAACGCGAGCCTCGATTTATCGACCGTAGTGAGGATGATTCGTCAACGGATGATGGCTGGGCTGCATGGGCTCAGCTTCCGTTGCCCCTCGCTTCTGGCTTGCTTTCCTCCCCTGCCCGTATGGTACACTATTCCATCTGATCCGCTTGTCGTCCTTGGTGATGCCCGGATGAATCACTCAAGATTGGTGGGTAGTCGATATGGATAGTCGAGTGGATTAAGCCGAGTTGAGCTCCGACTGTCGAACGTGGTTATGCTCATGTTGTGTCACCAAACTGGAGCATCTTGCGTGTGTGGTGTTTGCCGTGGAATGACACTTCACGATGATGTCTTGCGGTTGTGGCTGTTTGGACCTTGGAGTATCCGTTGGGGCAAGAGACATCCGGAATCTGCTAGAACATGTATTTCTCCACGTTCTAGCCAGCAGAAAGTACCTCCACCCGGCCCAGCGTTGTGTTTTTGGTGGAGGTCGTCTCCACCCCCAAAGGAAAACGGCCCTGTCCCAGTGTTCCTTCTCCTCAATGGCGCAACTATGAAGTTACCTACCTACCTACCCACCTACCTCTATGTTCTGGACTCTGAGGTGGAAAGAACGTCTGACGGACGACATTGGGTCCCGTATGAAGATGGCACTTGCCCACTGAAGTGGAGGAGTAAATCGGCGAATCATCGACAATATCACAGCTGCTCCTTCCTTGCGATTCGGGAGTTGAGGCACCTCCTTCTTTCCCCTGTACCTTGAGAAAAGTACCTGAAGCAAGTATGTACTTGGCTCTTGTCCTGCCACGCCCCATTCCTTGTTCCTTCCCTTTATCCTTTCAAACGGTGGGTCCCCCTTATCTGTGGAGACGCTTATCCGTCTCGCCCAAGGAAACCACGGCACTCCCGACACTTCCGTTTGCGGTCTGCGATATCTGGCGCAGTCCTGGCCCGAAATCCCCCGCCCGCGCCCGTCTCAGTCTGTCGCTCATTCCGTCTCTCCGCCGGCCTGGTGCCCACTGCCACCGACCATGTTCCCCATGCCTTCGGCATCACAAACAGCCAGATACCAATGTTGCGACAGCCTCTCTCTCGTCCTCTCGCTAGAGGTATCATATGAGGGTGATCGGTGTCTCTTCGGCTGAGTGTAAAGTGCACCCTTTCGTAGCGTTGCAGGGTGCGTTCGGCTGAGCAACCACCACATCCGATGCTGTGTACTGAACACACAAGATGCCGGCATTTCTTCCGCAACACATGTGCTCCTGCAACAGGACGCCAGCCCTCTTCTCTGTACTCGCGACACTATGCACACTTGCCTGTCAACGTTACAGGCTTTGGCTTCCCGGCGGGACCAGCCACAGGAGCACCACACCTTTCGATGCTGTGGTAATACGCCCAACCTACCGAACAACATGGACCAGGCTGAACCAGTTTCACCACGGCTCTCCTAGCAGATGAGGCTCGAAGCATGATGCTATTCTTCTCAGCAGCGTCGAGTACCTATTTAGCTTGTCTGTCAGTTGCTACATCTTACAGCGAACCTCCTCATCTCCCTCAGGGAGCGTCTGGCGGCGGCGCTCGCATCGCCATTCCCACGGCCCAACTCTTGAGCTTTAGCTGTTGAACGACTCCCTCAGACGAAGGCTGGTGGCGTCCTCGTTATTATTCGACGGCTGTACGTTGCTTCGGTCCCTCGTGGGCTCTACCAACGAAGCACGCTCGGGCTCCAGGTACGGCCCCTAATGCATTACAGCTACGCCAACCCCGACACACAGCGGCTGCCACTCTGCCACGGCGTTCTAGTTGTTCTTTGCCGACAAGATTCACTAACTTGGGACGGTGGAAATACCCCCTAGGAACAGGCACATTTGAAGCGTTGAAGGGTATGGTGTCATCGCATACTCAGGCTTCCAACCCATATGCCAGCCACCTAGATATCAGGGCTGGAAGAGGCCATACACTAGAGTTCGGATTCTTGTCACAGAGTGCGCCGGCCCATGGCTTCTCCCGCCCGATGGCCTCCGATGACATCGGGCCTCGATCATCACCATCATTGCCTTGACAGGCAGTCCCCACGCTGATCAACGCAAGGGATCCCCCCTCTAAGTAAATAGCCTCAGCGACCGCGGGGACTACAGCTCGGACGTCCGTCTGAAGACTTGAAATACATGCTGCGTTTGTTGGGCGTTGTTGTGCATTGCATCGCGCCGCACGGCATGTCTGTCAGCAACCGTGTCAAGGGTCGACAGTGTAGCAAAAGAAACCTCACAGGCATCTCAAGGGGACGGAATGACGTTGCTATATCGCTCAAGTAAATTGGACATGAACTCAACGGCCCGAGAAACTTTGAGTCTGAATCACTATGGGCGTTTGGCTGGGTATCACGTTGGACACTAAAGCACTCACGTTACAGCTTGCCAGGTCTTATCCCACCATCGTGTACTACATCAACTGTGCGTCGAGCACATCAGTTAACCAGTTGATTCGCTTCATTTTGAGATAAGCCACCATTGCACAGCAAAACCACGGGGCTTTGTCTGTGTCCTTCCAAAGAGCGTGCCTAGATAACGCCCGGCATTGATTAGCAGACCGGATGGATTTGGCGCCTCAATCCTGGCTCAACTCACGATGCTGAGCTAGACACTATTTGAGAACGCTAGTAGTCATCGAGCAATACCCCAGTAATCTCACTATCACATACATACCTACATGCGACAAGAGAAAAGTATCGTCTTTTGGAGACTCCATTGCGGCAGAGCCAGGCACAATTCTCAATTGGCTAGGTACTCAAGAGACTCCATGAGAAAACGGCATGCAGACACCTCCTCGCTTTGTGACTTGACAAAGAATACAATCACCAACCCGAGGGACCCAAGGACTTCAGTTCAATTACGAATGTTCTCACCCTTCGAATCCCTATCTTGGCATACGTCATTGCTCTATGCATTCACGCCCGCCGGTCCATGTCAAACCCTTTTCCACTACGGCGCTTCTATGCAATATGACTGGCTACTCTCTTCACCCGCCATTCTGCACCAGGCAATCCTAGGCACCAAGGGTCTTGTTAGCCTTCTGCGAGTCGCAGGTACTTAGGATAAAAACCCCTCAGGGTGTGCGGTTAGCTCGGAGACCCTGGTCCTGGCTCGCGCCCGTTGCAGCTTGTACTTTACATATTCACGATGCGCCAAGTTGAGGTTCGTCAGAAACTCAATGGACCCGTCATCCTCTCGACGTTGGCCGGCTACGGCAGATGGGGCTCTGGCGGTTTAGTCAAGTTATCGCTCGCAAGAGCACGTCATTTCACCTTGCTAGCAAACAACCCAGGCGGTCAACTGTCGTGAGTCTTGTTGAGTTTCGGACTTGATTACTGGACTACTCTCCTTGGGTCTTATTTTGACAATGTTTCGCAACAGTCGCTCACCAGATGGATGCTGTAAGTTCTCACAGAAGTCGTTCAAATTTCAGCGAATCGGTCGCCAGGCCTTGAAAGAGATATTCAGGACCGACTGCCATTCTGGATTTCGAATCCCCATCGACACATCCGTACATTTCTCGGCTACAGCGTCTATCCCACAAGATAAACGGTGGTCATAGCAATGCTTGAGTCGTTGAAGGCCCGCTAGTGGGCAACCCCAGATGATCCCAAAGATGGTGATGGATCAACAGAAGGTCGTTGTGGATGGACAGTTCCACGTGAGGATGACCAGAGATCAAGCGATCCATGAGCTGGGACTGGTGTGGGCTACGCGTTTGGCGCGGCCACCGTGGACGGTTCCGGCGGTTGGGCACATGCACCTGGATCGACCCCTATCTCACGCATCGCATTGTCGTTGAATGTCCATGACAAGATGACACTATTCGTAAAGGTTCACGTGCTGATGCTTGTCTGACTATGACTTTCTTCTCTGCTACGTCTCGTTCCGAGGCTTGCCATCGTTCGGGAGCAGATCAGGTCTTCGAGCCATTGCTGCGTCCATCATCGCAACCTCAGTCGTTCTCGTGCAGGTAGGCACATGGAAATTCATATTGACTTTATCCGGCGACTTCATTTCCCAGACGCAGGTCCATTGCGTTGCTAAACGCAACCATACACTGCAAGGTTGGCTTGGACGGCCCGATATCGACGATGCCATGTCTTTTCTCCGGGCAGCGGGATATTTTCCGGCAGAGACAACTCCAATCTGGAAATAGCTCACCACTCTCCCTTCGTCGGCGGCCTCACTTGCCTTTCACCCGGCGAAAAATCCCACTGCACCTCAGCACTTACCACTCAGACAAATGTGGACTGACTCGGTTACTTCCTCATTCCTACCCCAGGAAGAGCTCCGGATTGACCATCGGTACTTAGGGCATGTAGGTTCTCCACGGGGTTGATTATGCACATTGACCAAAGTAGACAGGAAAAGTCGCCCGGGCAGCACCGCACCACGTTCCCGAAATGGGGCCGACTTTCTCCGATCCACACAAAGTTTCAACAATGGTGTACCTCTGTCGAGGTTCTCACTTGATCAATCCAAATGCCAGTCACAGAGTGTCTGCATTCAGCTGCTTTCCGTTGATTGCCCTCGGTCGATAAGCTAGGGTTTAAGACATACCTAGACTTTCTGATGCCACAAAGATCGGCACGCATCTTTCCCATGAAGCTTGTGGTCAATGATGCATAAACACCACGATGAAAATCGGCTTGTGAGGATGAGACCTCTCAGCCTCCCGCCGTCCGGGTATTCTGCCCTCAAAATCACTATGTTTTTCTGCGCTCAGTAAAATAGTGCCTAAAGTTTTACATCGCGGCTAGAGCGCCTTTTGCAAGAAATAAACTCGAGCTGACATCAGCAACCTGTTGGCGTAATCCCGCAGACGGGCACGGCGGCCGGCCATCGGCGGCGGTCGGCTAGGCGGCAGAGCGAGGCATCCTTGGCGGGACGGCATCCGTGGACCATCACGGTAGTAGGCGAACACACGGAGACAATCAATCCGAGATTCGTTCGCTACCGTCTTCAACATCGGCTTACCACGGGATTCCTCCTTTGTTGCTCACTCTTTCACCCTGTCTTGGTTCGGTTACAGAAACACGCGCAGTCGATATATTCCAGGAAAACGGTTGGCGGCGGTCTACCTACCACCAGACGCAGGCTGGCTGTCGATCAATTCGTGTCGGGAGTCTAGGACTTTAGGGAAAAGCCGATAATTGAGCGGTTCAACTCACCGGTGGCGACACGCAGACGCGGTGCTTTCTCGCTGACCCCAGCCAAGTCGCTAGTCAGAGTTATGCCAGCCATGCGTGCCATGCACCGACACCGCCCTCCCGTGCCTCTTTGAGCAGGTGCAGATGCGAAGACACGTCTTGAAGTCGAGTACACAAAGCACATCTCCACACAGGGTTCGCCTCTGCGGGGAACAGCCGGTGCAGAACATGCTCCCCAGACCAACCAGCGGAGCACGCCTTCTTTGGTTTTGGGGAGAGGTCCAGAGGGAGGGGAGGGGCTGCTTGCTATCTGTACCCGCAACGATAGTGAGGTGCTTTTCGTGGGGCAGAGAGATACAATATGTGTCCGAGGAATCTTTGCGGGCTCTGATGCTGCGTAGACACCCTTTTTCGTGGAGAATCCGCCGTGGAGACGAGATAGTCGTTGTGGTTGCTTGCTCCATCCTTGCCCGTCTGCTCCCGCAGCCAGTTTTATGGATCCTCGAGGTTTCGGGTCCAAGCTAGATAAACACCGGCGTTTACGACACATACCGTTGCGGAGGTCCATACATGAGCAGTGAAGAAGCGGCTACCTTAGGCGCTACGAATCGTCTGGGTAGGACGTTGATCCAGTATCTATCTAGACGGAGACCTCGATGGGGTCTCATCCACATCGTGAAGACCCCTACGGAAGGTGCGGCCCATGAGGGAATGCGGTTCAAAGAGGAGACGATACGTTCGAGGCCCGAAGATCGCGGTCTATTTCTCCATTGTGATTGATATCGCAGCTTAGCGGTGTGGAGGGGAGTGTGTCCTTCTTCATTGAGGTAGTTCCCTGACGATCCCGTGGGAATTCCGGGTTCTCGTCAGATCATGTCACACCGGAATTCCGAATCGTGATCGATGACCTGTCTTTGAAGAGTCTTTTTCTTGTCGTGAACTTTCCCTCTCTTACCCCTCCCAGTGGAATAGTCGACGGAAGTCATGATCATGGCATTCTGGACGATGACTGAGCCATGGGCCACAAGTCTCATGTGCCAGTAGTCTTCGACATCTGCATAACATTGGTGTATCAAAATCATGTCGATATCCTGAGGAGCAGCTTCCAACAGCTCGCGATTGTCACAAGCGATTGCGTTTCCTTCATGATTTTACCTTTGTGTCTCCACATGGCGCCTTCAGACGCCTCCAACCAAGAGTAAAGTAATAAGTGCCTGGTCTACATCTCGTCAACCAAACGTGCTTCAAGGAGCCGTATTCAAGGGTTTGGACCCCCTCCTAGCCTGGCGAAGATAACAACTTCCTCACTGAGATGCATTCCCGCACTGCACACCATGATATCGCGAAGGCTTCATCCCCATGCTTCCTACGTACTCTGGTATGAAGGCTTTTGGTGTTTCAAGCAATGTCAGGTAGCATTAATCCTTTTCCTGGCATACGCTTCTCCACTGACGGGTTTCTCCTTGCAATTCCCCACGACAAGATGCTGTGCAGTAATACTTCTCGTTCTGTCGAGGAAGCAATCTTAACAGCCCCAATGTATCCCGTTACTCTCAGTCTGCAATCAAGTTAGCAAAGTTCACTTCCTCATTGCTGCCTACTGGCCTTGTATTCATCAGCGATACAACAATGAGGGAACGAGAGAGTTGACATCCGTTCAGGCACCGCTATACTATACGCAGGCGAGGTCCTCAACCAGAAACTGAAACCGCAGCTTCAAGATATGACACTTCAAGAGGCCACCACCTGTCTCTGTCCCAGGATGCATAACGTTGTTGGGTAGATGTTCGCCTTGACGCCTAACACAGCCATAATATATAATCGGCTGCAGGCTTGATCTGTATCTCAATCCACCATAGGGGCCCGTGTTTGCAGATAACTATTTGGGGAAAGGAAACTGGTACGTGGCCTACACATAAGTCGAGTCTGCCGCCGATTTTTCGGCGTAGGCATTAACATGAAGAAAGGTCAAGCCATAAGTGCGGTTATTCCTCATCCCTGGCTACCTACCTCGCAGGCAGAAGTCAGGTTGGTTGACTTTTACTTGAACAAGTTGAAAACAAGATGAGGAATTCCGTCACAACAATACTAAAAAAGAACTTTCTCTACAGTTAAAATACTTTGTCCTTACAAGGATCCTAACGTAGCAATCTTAATAATGAAATATCTCAAAACTGGCCTAAAATTAAGTATTTACTAGGCAAGGAGTCAACATCTCAGTCAAAACGAAAGACAGAAGACAGAATCTCAAGAAAAAGGCTCATTTACTGTTCGAGCTTGCTAGTCACTTTCTCTCCCAACTACGGACAGCTTCAACAGTTCTTTAAAATATAACATGTCTAGATGAACTCTATTGTTTAATCTCATTGTTGGGACGCGCCTAAAGCTCTACACATCAACTCAAATATCGCAGTATCTACCTCGTCGTATTTCCATAAATTGGACCGCGGTCATCTCACAGGCAGTTCAGACAAGCTAGTTGAGTTTGAATAGAAAGTCAGCGGCAAGAGACAAGCTTATGTGCTATTTCTTCCATGCTGACGACGCACTAGCTGCTCAGCCTTTCAAAATGCTTTTATCTTTCGTTTCTCTGTTCCGAAATGTCAAGGGTCAATGACCATAGTGCAATGAAGGTCTTGGATATTTCTCATTGGCTGCTAGTTACAGAAGGTTGAAGGCAATGAGTACATAAGTAGGACTACCAAGGTCTTAGATACCGAAAGCTTAAAGCTGGAACTCATCTAGGTTGATCCCCGTGCTAGTAGAAGCGGGAAGCAACACTCTTGTGACAGCAATGTTCACGGGAGATAGTCTGAGATAGTCAATACTCCTTGTCCTTTCACAAAGAAAGCAGGTCTAGGTAGCGCCTTTACACACCGTTAGAAGTTACTTCCCATCGCCTCACTTCTAGACACAGAAGAGTGAATTCGGTACTATTAGTATCAGGGGGTTTCACAAGAGCAGCGGACCAAGCAGGTGGATAAAAGATTTCTCTAATTTTGTATGCTACTGGCTTCATCGGAATGTGAACCGCTCTTCACGTCCCCTCTCTTCCAAATTTTATAAAACGACCAAGGACAGAGGAACATTATTCATTACAAGTTGGAGTACTTCTTGAAAGCGCCAATCAGACCGCCAGTGGAGGCGTCGTGACCCTCACCGTTGCCGGCCTCGTCAAGCTCCTTGAGAATCTTCTTGGCCAGGACCTTGCCCAGCTCGACACCCCACTGGTCAAAGGCGTTGATGTCCCAGATGGCGGCCTCAGTAAAGGTAAGGTGCTCGTAGTAGACGATCAGAGCACCCAGCTCAGCGGGGCCGATGTGGCCACCCACGAGGATGCTGGTGGTAGGGCGGTTGCCGAGGAAGATCTTGTGGGGGACAAGCTCCTCGGGGGCACCCTCGGCGCGGACCTGGTCAGCGGTCTTGCCGACCATCAGGGCCTCGGCCTGGGCAAAGTAGTTGGATGCGAGCATCTTCTGGTGGACGCCGTCGCCAAGGGGGTTATGGCTCTTGGCGGCCAGAATAAAGTCGGCGGGGATCAGCTTGGTGCCCTGGTGGACGAGCTGGAAGAAGGAGTGCTGGGCGTTGGTGCAGGGCTCGCCGAAGAGGATGGGTCCTAGTTACAATGATTAGTCTTTGAGAAGTACCTACATACACAAGGAATTATCTTACCAGTGGTGTACTTGGCGGGGGTTCCATCAGAGGTGATGGTCTTGCCGTTGGACTCCATGGAAAGCTGCTGGAGGTAGGCGGGGAAGCGGTGCAGGTACTGGTCGAAGCTATTTGCAACGAATTAGAATCACAATGTTTGTCAATATTCTGCGCAGGAAACGCTTACGGGGCAACCAGGTGGGTTTGGGCCTGGAAGAAGTCAGAGTACCAGACGCTCAGGAGACCTCCCAGAACGGGGATGTTCTCCTTGAGGGGAGTCTCGCGGAAGTGCTTGTCCATCTCGTGGGCACCGGCAAGGAACTTGTGGAAGTTATCGTAGCCGACGTAGATGGCGACGCTGAGGCCAATGGCGCTCCAGACAGAGTAGCGACCGCCAACCCAGCTCTCGAAGCCGAACATGTTCTTGGCGTCGATGCCGAACTTGGTGACCTCCTCCTCGTTGGTGGACAGAGCAACAAAGTGCTTGGCGATCTCGCCCTTGCCGTCCGTCTTTTCGAGGAACCACGTCTTGGCCGTGTTGGCGTTGGTGGTGGTCTCTGCGGTGGTGAAGGTCTTGGATGCGATGAGGAAGAGGGTGGTCTCGGGATCCGAGTTGGCGAGGGCCTCGGCCATGTGGGTGCCGTCAATGTTGGAGACGAAGTGGAGGGTTTGGTCCTTGGCACCGTAGTGCTTGAGGGCCTCGGTGACCATGACAGGGCCGCTGCGGGAGTTGTTAGAAAGCTGGGACTTATATATTTTCGGTGTTAGGAGAGGAATTCGGCCAAGCACTCACAGATCGGAACCTCCGATACCGACGTTGACAATGGTAGTGAGCTTCTTGCCGGTGTAGCCCTTCCACTCGCCGCTGCGGACCTGCTCGGAGAACTCCTTCATGTGCTCGAGAACCTCGCGGACACCGCCCTTGTTGCCCATGACGTCGACACCGTCGACCTTCATGTCCCAGTCGCCAACGTTGCGGAGGGCGGAGTGGTAGACGGCGCGCTTCTCGGTGAAGTTGATCTTCTCGCCGGCGAACATGGCATCGCGCTTCTTCTCGAGGTCGGCCTGCTCGGCAAGCTTGACGAGGAGGTGGAGGGTCTCATCGGTAAGGAAGTTCTTTGAGAAGTCAAAGAGGATGTCGGTGCCGGAAGCCGAGTTCTTGAAGGTATGGCTGAACTTGGCGAAGCGGTCCGTATCGGATGAGAAGGCCTCCTTGAGGACGAAGTTCTTGCCGACGTTGTCGCGGTGAGCCTGGAGCTCGGCCCAGGCGGGAAGGCTGGATGCTTGAGGCATTTTGGGCGGTATGAAATTTAGTTGACGGAAGCTAGAGATTGGAGGATCGTGATCTTTGGAAAAAGAGAAAGTCAGCTACGGGATTCTTTGGGTATATTGACAGGACGTGATGATGGAAATGTACCTCTTGGGTATCGAATTGACCAAGAGAAAGTTTATAGTGGTCAGGCTAAAATAAGAAAAGGGGTATGTAAGAAGTCAGGTTAGATAGGGTGTGTGTGTGTGTGTGTGTTGTCGTGGACTGACTATGACAGAGGGAGGAACAGGACGGGCAGAGTTGCGGCGGTTCTGCTGGGAAGCAACCTGGAAGTGGAATAGGAAGTGGGATGGATTGGATGGATGCGGCGTGCAGAGCTCGAAAACAGCCAATGAGAGTGCTCAACTCGAGGTGGCATGTCTGGCGTGGAGGGGTAATTGCGTACAAAAACACTGCTGGAACGCGGGGCATGGCACGCTGTATTCGCACCGAGCCATGGGGAGCAGAAGCACTGACCTTTGGGGGGGTGACGCCAGGTGAATTACCTAAGCCTGCTGATGTACCTCGACGAAGAGAGACGGGATTCTGCAAGTGAATTCTGAGCTACGAAGACGCTTTAGTCTTGGTGCTCAGTCAGGCAATGGCAGGGTATAGAGGGATGGATGGGGTATCAATGTTGTTTCTGGAAAGAAGAAAATGGAAGACAGGGAGGGAAAGAGAGAGGGACAAGAGCAAAAGGGTAAGCAACGTGGGAGGGCGGCACTTTAGAACAAAAGGAACACGAGACGATGATACACGCTCTCACTCACTTACGGATATTGTCAAGATCGTCGGATATCTCTCACGAGCTGCGGTGACTTATTACCTCGAGAGAAGTGGGCTGGGAACTGGGTCCTGTCGCTCGGGTCCTGTCGCTCTTGTTGAGTGAATTGAATTGGTGAGGTCCTCGTCCAGGTTTCTCCGTCATCATCCACCGTAACAAATCCCCGCCCCGCCGTCACCCCCGCCGGCGTCGCTGGGACAGCCCCGAAGCATAACGAAGCTTACCTAAACACACGATGCCATGCTCCGTACCTCGCACTTCCCTCATCTCGACCAGCCATGCACTAACACCTATCGCCATCTTCCACCCACATTCTCAGTCAACCGTACCAATTGACGCTCCTCCTTCTTATCAGCTATATCCGACAGCCGATTACTCATGGAACGACAAGGTGCAAGCTCACCCCCCATCCAACCCCCCACCATCC